TATTAGATATCTAGATTATATATATTCTACCTCTATCTATCTATATGTGTGTGTGTGTATGTTGCATACACACACACACACACACACATAATATATATTACACTATATATATATAATATATATATATATATATATATATATATACTATATATATATATATATATATATAATATTATGTATAATGTGTGTGTGTGTGGTGTGTGCTGTGTGTGGTTTGTGTGTTGAAACCCACTCCATTCCTGCGGGCGCATAACACGGTCAGTTTAGAGATCAGTTACGCAACCATCATATACCTTCCGCAAGGACCCAATGGCACTCGGATCCTTTCATTCATGCAAATCCCACGAGAGCCAGGAATGCTGTCACTAGTTTCCGCTACGTGCCGTTGTTTACATACACCTGAGGTTAGTTTTACCATGTTTGCCGCACCGCTAGGATTACCTTACACAATAGATAGCTCAAACAAAAACACACACACACAACACACACACACAAACACACACACACCAGTTATACGCCACTAGATTTGTGTAGGATCCTTTATCTCACACCTGTGCATGCTTCAAATAGGCTATAAAATATGTATAATGATATATATTATATTACACTTTATTAATACTTATTATATATGACCGAGGAGACGAGATCGAGGAGAGAATCTCCAGCAGACTGTACATAGGACCTGAAGAGCACGACCGCAATTAGTCCAGTGACTTAGAGAACGGTGAATTAGACGGGCTAATTTGATCACAATCGTTTACGTTTTATAGACCCTCAAGAGAAGAGCCACTCGGTAGGAGTAGACCCATGATGAGACACTTCAACGCAGGTGAGTGCTAACTCGGCGTAGCAAGACGCACGACGCACTATCGCGCCTCTCACGCACGCACACACGCTCTCTCAAGCACTCTCGAGTACCTCAGAGTAGCTCGTTCTCTATCTGTGGTGAACCTAATCTCATACTCCCCTATGAGACTTGCAATGGTATTTATCAAGTGGCATATTCGGCCAGATATGCAGAACACACACTATATATCACGATGAGTAGCCATTTGACGTAACATAGCCGCGCGACCTTATCACACATCACTAGAACGTTAGAGTCGCTGCTATAATCCTCTATCTCACAAGTAATTATAGCGCTCAAATCTGAAGAGTGTACCCACTCTCAGCTAACCGTGACGAATGCATTTCTTAAATGGCACTACAATGCGCTTTATGCTATGTACGTAATAGCTCACTCGCGTACGTCGTAACGTTCTCGCCATGGTGCGCATATAACGCGCCGCGAATGGTACCACAACACGCTGATGTGCATACAGCCAGAGCTCGCATAGCATATCTGCTGGTCCGTTACGTCGTATCCTAGTTCAACAAAAGCTCATGCTTACAGAGAAGCGTTTGATGTCGATAAAGCGTATCAGCCCTTCTCACCATTATGTTATATCACAATACGCTCTTGCGCTGAGGACCAACAGCGACTTGAAAGATCTGATTGTGTGTGCAACTACGCCCCCCCCCCCTCTCTGGCCTGAATGAACGCCGTTAATTTAGGTATACATGTGACAGCAGCTCGGCCTGGGTCGACTAAAAACAAAGGGAGGGAGAGGGAAAGAAGGGGAAAGGGAAGGGAAGGGGAAGGGAGAGGGAAAGAAGGGGAAGGGGAAGGGAGAGGAGGGGGAGGGAAGAAGGGAGAGGAGGGGGAGGGAAGAAGGGAGGGGAGGGGGAGGGGGAAGGGTGAGGGAGGGGGAGGAAAGAAGGGGAGAGAGAGGGGGGAAAGAATAGGGAGAGAGAGGGGAGAGAAAGAGGGAAGAAGGGAGAAGGGAAAAGAGGGAGAAGGGAAGAGGAGGGGTGAAAGGGAAGAAGGGAGGGGAGGGAGGGAAAGAAGGGAGAGGGAGGGGGAGGGAAAGAAGGGAGAACGAGAGAGAGAGAGAGAGAGAGGAGAAACCAAAGACTCTTTAATTCCTCCTTGCTCCTCAGGCACCACCCAAGTACGCCTTCGAGTACGCCGTCAACGATCCTCACGCCGGGAACCGCTTCGGCCACTCAGAAGCTCGGGACGGCTACAAGACCAGCGGCGAGTACTTCGTCCACCTCCCCGACGGCCGCGTCCAGACAGTCACTTACCACGCCGACGAGACTGGCTACTACCCCACAGTGCACTACAAGGGCGCTGCTGTATACCCAATCGCCCCTGCTTACCACGCGCCGGTCCCCACCTACCACGCGCCGGTCCCCACTTACCACGCACCAGTCTCTGGCCACCATTAGACAAGCTTTTCCGAGTGTCATCATTCGAATGAACAGCGGAAAAACAGCCGCAAATGGTACATGATAATATAAAAAAACGAACTGCTGTTAGTAACTACGGTAGTCAAGATTTTCCTTCAACTTTGTGCAATTACCCCCGATTTTCGGAGAACAAACAGGTTGTAATAAGCATACAACAGGTAGACCATTTGGATAAATAGAACGAAAATAAAAATCAGAATCGAATGTACGCCACTTCTTTTATTCTACAGAAAATGGCATGGTATATCAGATTCAATATGGCACATGGTATAAAGATTTACTTAAACAGAGTCGAGTAAAAAGTATAAAATTCTATTTTTTCTCTACATGACTAATACAATATATGAGCAATGCCGCAACAAATGCAGGCAAACATGTAATACAATAAATCCTTAACAGCATATATTGCTAATGCTGTCATGATAATCACAATCAAGGTCTCTAATGAGATGGAAAAAACAATTTCATATAAAAAACTAAACTAATAACAATGAACCTTATCTGATGTCCAAATAACTTCATGATAGTATAGTACTGAAAACTATCCCAACTAAAACCATTACTATTGCTATTACTACTGTAAAATTCCTATTACGAAAGTATAATCACGATGATGACCGAAGATGCTAGATTGTTTTAATAATAATGGCAATGGCAATGGCAATCTCACATCAGTAGCAACAGTATATATAATAATATATATAATTAATAATACAATAATTATATAAATTACAATAATAATAATAGAATATTACAATATAATATAATAATAGTAATAATAATAATAATAATTAATAATAATTTAATAATAATAATCAATAATAACAATAATAATTACAATATAACTGAGAACAACAAATAATAATAAGAACTAATGAGGAAACTATAATAACTATGACAATACTACTACTACTACTGCTACTACTACTACTAATACTAAAAATATGAACAAATAATGATAATAAAAATGATGATGCCGACGATAATAATAATAAAAACAATAACAATAGTAATTGTATCAATAATAATCATAATAATAACAACAGCCAGACTAACCACAATAATAGCAACAATAAAAACGACAACACCACTGAATTACCCCTCCGGGTCCTAGCCCTTTCACTACGGCAAGACAACTCCGCAGTCTACCACTTGCACTTTGGAGAGGTCATGGAACTCGGCCGCTTCTTGCACCACGTCCATCCCTTTGACGACCCTCGCCACCGCCGTACGACTCGGGACATCGGGAGTGATCGTGATGGAGAACTGGCCGCTGAGACTGACGTGCACGAGCCCAACTTGGTCCGTGTAGGGGACCTCCGGAGCAGCCTTCATGTACGTGAGGGGCTGGACGCAGCCTTTCCCGAAGACCAGGCGCTCGCCCGAGTCTCCCTCATCCTGCAGTGCGACGCCCGTGTTGATGTAGGTGTGCCCGTTTTGCTTGCCCGTGCACAACATGAAGAACGACTTGGCGAAACCTAAGGCGAGATCTATCCCGTGGACGATCACGCGGCGAGGAGGCGAGTCTGGCCACGAGATGTCGAAGAAGGTTTTCCATCCGACATCCTCCATTACCTTATCTACTCTGCAGTACTAGAAAGAACGAGATGAGGGCGAGATAAGTAAATAGCAGGTCATAGGAAGGGGCCCCTGGAGATCTCGTATAATAGCAGGAGGAGGAAGGGCCAGGCTCATCACAGGAATANAACAAAAAAATAAAGATAAAAAAAACATGAAACATGTACCTCGCAAACATAGCAAGATACATTTAAAAACATGAAAATAAAAGCTCAAAAACAGACAAAATAATCTTTGGCTTTGAAAAAAATACATATATATCTTTTATGTCAGTCAGTCATAAGCAAATGTGTCATCCTTAGAACATTTTGACAGTGACTGCACGCTGACATCTCCAAGTTAGAAGAGAGAGAAGAGAGAGGAGAAAAAGCGTTGGATAAATAGATAGATAGAGAAAGAGAGAGTAGATAATAAGAGAAAGTGAGTTAGATAAATAGAGAGAAAGAGATAAATAAATAGATAGAGCAAAAGAGTGAGTTAGATAAATAGAGAGAGAGTTGAATAAATAGATAGATAGAGAAAGACGAAGACTTAGATAAATAGAGAGAGAAGAGAGTTAGATAAATAGAGAGAAGAGTTAAATAAATAGAAGATAGAGAAAGAGAGACCTTAGATAAATAGAGAGAGAAGAAGTGTGAGTTAGATAAGATATATACATAGAGAGTGGGTTAAGATAAAATCGAGAGAGAAAGTGAAGTTAGAGGAATAGAGAAGAGAGTGAGTTAAATAAATAGAGAGAGAGAGAGTGACATAAATAGAAAGAAGAGAGTGAGGTTAGATAAAACAGAGAAAGAGAGAAACCGTTAAGATAAATAGACAGATAGAAGAGAGAGAGAGTTAGATAAATAGAGAGAGGGAGTGAGATAAATATAGAGAGAGAATGAGTTTGGAAAATAGAGAAAGAGAGAGAGTTATATAAATAGACAGAAAAGAAAAGAGTTACAAACTTTAATTAAAATCATATCTGCTCTTACATTTCTCTCCTGCTCTTTCTTCTCAGTCTCATCTCCAACACCCCTCGCCCTCATTTCTCCTCTCACCCCCCCACCCCTCTATCTATCTATTCTATCTAATCTCTCGCTCTTCAGTCCTCACATCTCTTTCTCTCGCTTCCCTCCCCTCCAACCTCTCCCTCCCCCCTCCCCCCCCCTCCTCCTCTCCACCTCTCCATTCCCCCTCCCATCCCCCTCTCTCCATCTCCACCTCTCCTTCCCCCTCGCCCCTCTCGTCCCTCCCTCCCCTCTCTCTCCCTTCTCCTACTCCCTCCTCCATCCTCACCTCCTCCCATCCTCCTCCCCCTCTTCACTCCCCTCCCATTCTCCCACCTTTTCCTCATCCCTCGCTTTACTAGCAACCACACCCCCTCCTCCCTCCCCCCTCCCCTCCCTCTCTCACCCACATCCTGCAAATCTGCAATCATCCCGTGAGTCACAGATCAATTGCAATCCACTGTTGAAACAAGCTCGACCTGACCACTGGCGGCCATTAAGAAACGATTTTTTTTTTTTTTTTTTTTTTTTGCAATTTTTTTTCTGTCTCTCTATCTCAATACCTGTATGGCAATTCTCCATTTTTCTGTCTGTTTCTTCCTCTGTCATGTTGTCTCTGTTTTCAGTCTCTCTCTCTCGCTCTCTCTCTCTCATCTCTCTGTGTCTGTCCTATCTATCTCATCACACTCCTCTCTTTCTCTCTCTCTTCTCTCTGCTCACTCATTTCTCTCTCTCTCTCTCTCTCTCTTCTCTTTCTCCTCCTCTCCTCTCTCGTCTCATTCTCTCTCTCTCTCATCCTCCTCCCACCGTCCTCTCCCTCTCTCTCTCTCTCTCTCTCTTCCTCTCTCTCTCTCTCCTCTCACTCTCTCTCTCTCTCTCTCTCTCTCTCCCTCCTCTCCCTCTCCTTCCTCCTCACTCTCTCTCTCCCTCCCTCCTCCCTCCCCTCCTCCTACCTCCCTCCCTCCCTCCCTCCCATCCCTCTCCCTCTCCCTCCCTGCTCTTCAGTCCCTTCTCCTCCCTCCCCTCCCCTCCCTCCTCTCTCCTCTTCTTCTCTCCTCTTCCCTCTCTCCTCGTCCACATCAACCCTCCTTCGTCTCCCTCCCTTTGTTCTCGACTCTCATTCCCTTCATCTCTCTTTGTATTAGTATCTTTGCGTTGGAAAGCGACCGCCACATTACTCGTGAATTTCATGGCTTTTTTATAACAACCCTATGACTGAGAGTTCAAATCATTAATAGGAATTGTGCAAACCCACACTGAGGGAAGAGAGACTGGGAATGGAGGAGGAAGAAAGGGGAGAGGGAGAGGGAGAGGAGGGGTTGGTGTTGGAGAAAAGGGGGAGGAGAGAGAGACTGGGGGGTTGGAAGGGGGTAAAGGAGAGGGGGAAGATGGGGGGAAATGGAGGAGGATAAGGGGAGAGGAGAGGAAGGGTTGAGTGAGAAAGCGGGAGGAGAGGGAGAAGAGTGGAGTTTGGTAAGGGGTTGAGGAGGGAGATGAAGAGGGGAGTGGGGTTGGCAAAGGGTACAGAGAGGGGGAAGAGGAAGGTGAGGGGTGTGTTGGAGAAAGGGGTAAAGGAGAGGGGGAGAGAGGTAGATAGAGGAGAAAGAGGAGGGCCAGGAGGAGGTGAAGGGAATGGAGGAAGGTAGAGGAGGAGTGGAAGAGGAAGGGAAAGGAAGGGAAGAGAAAGGAGAAAGGAAAGGAAGGAGAAAGAAGAGAGAGGGGAGGGAGAGGGGAAAATGGAAGGGTGGACAGAGGGAAGAAGGAAGTAGAAGGCTAAGGAAAGAGAAGGAGAAAAGTAAGAAGATTGTTAAAGAGAAGAAAGAAGATAGAGAAGAATATGTAAAGAGGTGACGGAAGAAGAGAAAGAGAAAAGAAGATGGAAAGGGAATGGGAAGGAGAGGAGGAGGAAGAGGGAAAGGAAGGGAATAAGAGGAAGGTAGAGGGTGAATAGAGGAGACATGATTGAGGGGTTTGGAGAAATGACAGCGATGGATGACAGTCGATGGCAGAGGTTCGTAAAAAATGCTTTCTTTCTTCTGTCCATTCATCTCCCTCTCTCCTCTCCTCTCTCTCTCTCTCTCCTCTCTCTCTCTTTTCCCTCTTTCTCTCTCTCTCTCCTCTCTCTTCTCTCTCTCTCTCTCTCTCTCCATCTCTCTCTCTCTCTCTCCATTCTCTCCTCTCCTTCTCTCTCTCCTCTCTCTCTCCTTCCTCCTCCTCTCTCTCTCTTCATCTCATCTCTCTCTCTCTCTCTCTCCTCTCTCTCTCTCTCTCTCCTCTCTTCTCTCTCCTCATCTCTTCTCTCTCACTCTCTCTCTCTCTTCTCTCTACCTAATACCGCCTACCTATCTCCTCTGTCTAACTGTCTCATCTGTCTCGAACCTCTCTTTCTCTCTCTCTCTTCTCTCTCTCTCTCTCTCTCCTCTTCTCTTCTCTCTCTTCTCTTCTCTCTCTCTCCCCTCCTCTCTCTCTCTCTCTCTCGTCTCCCTCTTCTCTCTTCGCTCCTCTTCCCTCCCCTCTCTCATCTCTCTCTTCTCTCTCTCTCATCTCTCTCTCTCTCTCTCTCTCTCTCTCTCTCCTCTCTCTCTCTCTCTCTCTCTCTCTCTTCTCTCTCTCTCTCCTCTCTCTCCTCTCTCTCCCCCTC